GGCCAAAATGAGCACCCAAAGCATTGTGTAGGCATTTCGCCCATTCGTGTTTGGGCCTGCCTCTCCTCCTCGGGCACGCATCCACGGCTGAAAGAACAGTGCCGGGCTGAAAAGTAAGTTGCCGAAGAAAGTCTGCATCTGGAGCCCGGCCAATTTTGCCAAATAGTAATATTTGCTGTTGACGAAGTTGCGCGCTGTACTGCTTCTGGCCAGCTTGTTCCAGAACTCCGCGATTCGGTACTCGCGCAATAAAGACGGGAGGTATATGTAGTATTCGTCGCAGGCATCTTGCTTGAAATCCACCCAGCCTTCGCCTTTCTGCTTTGTTTAACCACGCCGTGTTTAGTGAGTGCAGGATTTTGGATGTGACCAGCGCTTGGAACAGATCCAGTTTTCGCTGGTTGCTCAAAGCAGCGCGTGTTCCATGCTCTCTCATATTTGGAAAATTCGGCCCAAGCTGCCCCTATTCTTCTGTTTATCTCGGCACCCAACTGCCCATTATGGTACAAAGTAGCACCCAAATATGTCATGCTTCGTTTGTCGGCAATGAGTTGCCCCGCCGGCGCCCTCAACGTCACGTCGCTGTTTATCTTCATCATCTGGAATGTCCCATTGCAGCTCCATTCCAGCCCGCGCCCCCGCCAAAGCGATGTTGCCTAGGAGGTTGTGCAAGCTGGCTTGGCTTCTCCCGATAAGCGGCGTGTCGTCGGCATGCAGCAGCGCCGAAAGACTGCCAGAAACCATGTCGAACTTGTCATTGTCGCTCAGGTTGTTCACGGCGTCCCGCAGGGCCACAGTCATCAACATGACGAAAAGAAAAGGCGACAACGGACACCCCTGTGATATTCCAGACATTTGCTTTCTTTCAGAAGATTTGACGGCCCCGTCGGCGGCGCAAAATCGCCCGGCCTCAAAAATATTTCCCACAGTGCGAGCATGTTCAGAGGTACCCCAAAGCGGCCCAGAGCTGTCAACAATGCTTCGACGTCTATGGGATCAAACGCTTTTTTCCAGTCCAGGGCAACAAATGTAGTCCGACCGTCTTTCCTGGCGTGCGCGAGCTCGATATGACGGCGCACTGCGTGAACGGCGTCTGTTGTACCACACCCACGGCGGAACCCGCATTGAGTTTGGGTCAGCCGGTCTTCTGCCCCTGCCGGTTGTAGACGTTGTAGTTGAAGGTTGGCCAGGAGTTTGCACGCCACGCATAGTAAACTCATTGGCCGGTAATTTTCACACATGTGGATAGGGCCCTTGTTCTTGTAGATTGTGCTCACAGTGGCATGCCGCCATGCTTCGGGAACTCCGCGCTCCGCCCACGCTGTTGAATTGCATAATTCTGTTACCCACTTTAGCCCGCCAGGTGTTTGTGATATGGCTTTCCAATATTCTGCGGGAATGTCGCCCGGTCCTGCTGCCTTTCCCCATTTGAATTTCCGCACTGCTTCCCCCACTTCCTGCACGGTGAAAGCCGACTCGTCGACGGGAAGTGGCGGGCGGTCCCAAGGCCTCGTTGTCAACCAAATTTACCGGCCGCATTTTCCATTGCACTTGCTCCAAATAAGCTGCCATGGTATCTGCGCGCTCATGGCTTGTATCCAATTGCCCCTGTAAGTTTTGAAGCCTGCCCTGCTTCTTTTGTCGTGGTCGGAAAAATCTCCGAATATCGTCCCAGCGCCCCGATGCTATGTTTGAGTCCATCCACTCTGTCATCGATTGTGCAAGGTCGCCTTACTTCTTTCAGCAAGCGTCGCTCGTCTTGACGATTGTTACTGGCACGAGATTCGCTTCTTTGTTGTATCAGTGCCAATGTGCGTTGAGATACCCATGGCCGTTTTACTTCCTGGCGGCGTGGTAAAACAGTGGCGGCTGCAGGCGCTGCATGTGCACCCTGCCCCCACAAGGCGCCCACGTTCTGGGGACTCGCGTGGCCAACAATCTCGCTCAGAAATGCTTCTGAATACATAAATTGCACTGCGGGGTCTCGAAGCAGATCTCTGTCTCTACGCGGTTTGCGCAGCAATGGATCGCCATGCTGAGCGCGCTGAATGTCCACTGTCATCAAGTAGTGGTCCGTGGGCAGTGCTGCACCGCGGTGTTTTCAAATTAGGTATTTGGGCCAAGGTGGGAGCATCGCACATGATGTAATCTAAATAAAATGTCGCACTTGTCTTCGGCAATAGGCCCCAGTGATTTGGCGCCCGCCTCCACGAAGGCAACGGCGTCTTCCAGAGGCCGCTCAAAATAAGCATTTGCCAATCTTAGTTCGAGGCCAAGCAAAACTCCATGAGAAATCCCCATTGGAAGCTTCGACTTGATGCAAGGCCCGCCTACCCCAAGTGAATGGCCCTATTGTCGTCGATTCCCCAGCATCTGCATGCCCAACTCGTGCATTCACGTCCCCCATGATAAGCTTGCCGGCTGTGGCTGAGCACGTCCGGAACTCGGTGTCCAGAGTATTCCAAAATATGCGTCTCTCTGGCAAGGGCTTCAAGTTGTGGGGTGCATACACGCCGAAGATCCCGAATATACGACTACAACTTTGATCCTTTTTCCGAGACCTGCCTGCAAAATCGTACCAGAGGCACGTGACTGGGAGAGATGATGAAGCCAACTCCAGACCAAGATGTTGCATCTGTATCTTCTCCAGAAAAAAAAAGATGCGGCTGCCACTGTTCTAATCTACGTAGTCTTCTGCTTTTGTTTTCCGTGTTTCCTGCACGCAAAGAATATGCATTTTGTATGTATCCCTGTGCTTTGTTATTTCAAAAACCTTTTCCTGTGTCAAACCACGTACATTCCACGTAGCGCACCGTAGTCCAGAATGGTGTTCATGAGGATGCGGCCCAACAGGATGGATGGCATCTTTGCCCTTTCTCCCCGCGGGGGAAATCGGATGTGGAGAAATCCCAGGGTCAGTGGACCCCGAAGGTGAAACAGCCCGGCGCCCTTGGCACCTTCAATTCTTAGCTTTCCCTTTTCCGGCCCCTTTGGCCGCGTTGGCCGCGCTCGCCTCCAAACGATCAGAAGCTTTCTTTTGCAGTTCTTGCCAGTCTGGAGATGTTTGAAGATCTTCCCATGCCTCCCATTCGGTATCTAACCATTCCAAGTTTAGCTTATAGCTGATAACTTGCACTTTAAGTATCTGTTTTTCCCCCAGCTTTGAGGACGCCAGTGTCCCCATCGACCTTGACATACTTCTTGTTGAAGCCCCACTGCGTGAGAAGGTAACGAAGGCCTAATAACAATGAAATGGTAGTCCTCTCCTCAATAGGAGCGTCCACATTGCACCATACCCGGCGGGATCCTTGCCTTGGGTGTTGTCGTCCACACGCTTCCTGAAGAATACGCAAGACTTGTTGGGATAGTTCTACAGACGACAGTTCGACGAATAACATGCACTTGAAACCTTTTTCAGGGGGGCCTTTTTTATAGATATTCGAAGGGCTTGTGAATCCAGCGTCTTCCAATATCTTTGATACCCACTTTTCCGCATCGGCGAGCGTATCTTGCGGTAGCCCTCCAAGTACGAGCGTCGATATGGTATGTGCCCCTGTCGCCGAAGATGCCCCAGTAGATCTCGGTGTGGCACTTGTTTTCAGCGCTGCCATTTCTTTCCGAATCTCCTCGATGCGGCCGTCAATGTGATCATGTATATGTTCAATATCATCTTCCATGTTTGTGATACGGATACTGTTCTCCTCCACGTTTGCCTCCATGGTCGTTTTGAGATGGCGGACGTCGGTATTGACAGTTTCTTGAAGATGTTTGAACTCGTTCCCAAGACTCCGGACTGCCCGCATCGCGGGCTCAAGGTGTTTCTTGAACATCTTCCGCATGGCCTTCATCGTGATCGGCTCGTCTTCCTCCAAGTCGTCGTCGTCGTCGTTTTCGGCGCCAATGTTGAGCGACCCGGTTCCTGTAGACGCGGCGCCGCGGGGAAATTGTAGGTGTTGGGGCTGTAGATCATGAACTTCACCTTGAACTGCTTCCTCCTCCATGGGCGCGGCAGGACTTCCAAGCCGTGCTTGTTTGAGTGCACTTCTAGGCGGCGGTGTGGCAAGAGCATGTACCTCGGGACGTTCCGGACTTTTAGGCCGTGCTCCAGCTGCTTGTTGAACACCATCAGATGGCGGCTGCAAAACATCCTCTACTGGCGTGCTGGGCTTGTGGTAATAGGGTGTAAGAGGATAATCCTGGACACGGGTGTGGATGATCCCGGACACGGGTGTGGGAGGTTGATCTTGGCGTTGCCCCTCGAGCCTTGAGCCTTCCGCGCCACCAATTTCGGCGCACCCCTTACAAGTTTCGTGGCCCCATGGGAGCTTCACCGAAACCGGTACTCACAATGCGGTACTCGCAACTGCACATGGTTGGGTCCTTCGTCAGGCTAATTTCTGACTGTTTTTGATGATTCCTCCTGTAGAGGGGCAAGCCCGACGTAAGCCTAGCACTCGAGCGCGAACGCCCCTGGGAAGAGCCTGCCTCCTGGACTTTATGCATAGGTAGGCCGCATCCAGGGCCACGCGGGCGCGCGACCCTGGGTCGGTGTTCCTCCGCCTGACCCTGCTGTTCCCCCTCTCGTTTTCCTTGGTCTACTCTCCTCCCTCGCCCTCATCGAAAATACCCCTCTCCTCCTTTCTCTCTCGCTCTCTCTCGCTCTCTCCTGCTCCTGCAACTCCGGCCGCTATCGATCTGTGTCCTGCTAATGTCCTTTTGGTGCCCCGGCTCGTGAGCGGCTGGCCGGTTGAGCAGATGGAGTCAGAGAGAGGTAAGTTCGGCGGCGCGACCAGGGGGGGAAACAGAGGGTGCACGCATTCTCACAAAGCGGCGGGGCTTCTCAGAAGCCCTCCGGCCTTCTGAGCAGCCTTCTCTGTCTTCGGACAAGGCTGAGAGAAGCTCTCGGACTCGGTGGGCTCCCGAGCCTTCTGAGAAGGCCCGCCTCCTCTGACTTCCCCCCTGGGCTCGCCGCCGATATCGTGCCGGCTCAACCTGACCACTCACCACGCCATGCCCTCCTTGACGCGGGTGTCGGACGGGCACATCTCCAGGCACTTGTCCCCCACGGAGCCAGTCGGGGCAGGAATCATCCCCTTTTCCACGCGGTCCACCACCACCTCGAAGCCCATGACCATCCTCTGGTTGAAGACCCCATACTCTCCGGAGAACCGGCTGGCATCAGAGTCCTTCGTCTTGCCGGCAGCAAGCAGATGGGTCTTGAGCGGCATCTTCTTGCCCTGGCACTTTGCCTCCTCGCCGGACGGCCTGATCACGAAAGAGTGGCCACACTGCATGCCCTTGATCGCCTCAGGCGCGAGCCCCACCAACAACGCGTGGGCGAAGCCCTTCTCGAGGCTCAGATCGTCCGCGTCAACGCTCAGCGGCAGAGCGGCCATCAAGCGCTGGCGATTGAAGAGCATGGTCGCAGGGACGGCCTCTGCCTTGGCCTTGGTCGCGTTGGCGACACACTTCGTGAAGCTGCTGCTGGTCCACTTGTCCTTCTTCGCCCAAGCGGGCCTGTGGTGCGCCTGCGTGTAATCGCAGTAGGACGGAGGCTGCAGAGCAATCACCTCTTCGTCTCCGTCGAACAGCTCGCTGGCCAGATCAATCAAGCCCTTCTTATCCTGCCTGTGCACGAAGGACTCCCCCTCCATGTTGGCACAGATCTCAACGCCATACTCGGCCTTGCTGCAAAGTTCCACGAACTGCATCATCGCGGTGAAATAAGCCATCTGGCGCTTCATTTCCGGAGACGTGAGGTCCGTCTTGAAGAACTTCTTCGCGAAAGCAGCCGTGCTGCCCTTGCGGACAGAGAAGATTTTCTGCATCAGCTCCTGCTGCAGGGTCTGATTGGACTCGAGGTCCACAACCTGCACGGAGCCTGTGGTGCCATAGGTGCGCTTCATCTGCGCAACCACGGGATCGTGGGGCGTTCCCAAATCATTGTCCACCCCGGGCACCTTGGCATTAATGACCGCCACCTGTGCCACGTCCTTGCGCGAGGTGCTGAGCATCCGGATCTGGTGGCTCAGCATCAAGTCCACAGGTGGTGCCTGGGCAGGAGCAACCAGCATCGAATCGTCAAATTGGGTCGGATCTTGGTAGTCCCCAAACGTGGTGGGGACAACACCTGGCGGTGAATCTCGGGCGATTTGGTGTCACCACCCGGTCTAGGGATGTCCCGAACACGCTGGTGGGACCAGGAATCACAGAAACCCAGCGGTGACCCCGTGTTCCAAAACCCGGCGGTGACTTCTTGGGTGTGCCAAGTCACCACCTGATTTGAAGGGGCCCTGGGACACACAAATAAATACACACAAATAAAAATATATCGCATGTTTTCCCATATCTTCTGGGTTTATTTCTTCCCCCACACTTCCCATATTTTGCCATATTTCCCTGGGAATCGACGATTCATTGTGTCTGTGTGTTTTTGTCCCTTCCTGATGATTTCTCACCACCTGGTCTGGGGGCTCACAAGGATCGCCACGTGCGCACATCAAACCGGGCTGCACCAGCAGAGCCAGCATTCACAGCAGCACCGTGCAGACATCGGGCCGCACCGGATCGCCAGGACATGGAGATCGAATATGACTTTATGCTGCCCCCATCGCACTTGAGGACCACATGCCAGAAATAAGTTCACGCACCCTGAAAAGTGCCGAATGAGTCTCGAAAGAGTCTCGAAACAGTGTCGGACGAGTGTCTCCCAGGGCCCGGCACGTGGAAACCCTCGAGTTTGGCAACTTGTTCCTGGTGCTCGAAATTCTTTCTGGTGATCCATGCTCAAGTAGGTTGGAACATCATGAATCTGACTGGGCCGGCCGCTCTCCACAGACCTCCCCAGGGGCGCGCTCCGACCAGGACTCCGACGCGAGTCCGGCCGTGGCGCCGCGGGCCCCCAGGGGGAGGCCGAGGAGGAGGCGAACAGCAGCGAGGGGCACCAGGATGGCGTGTCCCAGCCTGGGTGTGCTTCAGCACCGTGGCCACCAGGGTCTTCTTGGCCACCGCCTCGGCGGGAGGCCGGAGCACGGCCCTCGGAGGCCCGCGCGGACTTTTCTTGGGATCGGCGCTGGGCCCCCCGCGCGCCGGGGGGGGCCCCCGGCGCGGACCCCAGGAATCCGCGCGCGGGGACCTCCGAGACGGCATCATGAGTATCGTTTCACCGATCCCCATCCCCACCAGCGTGGGCTGGGCCCCACTGGCCGGTTTACCCCCCCGAGATGGGGATATGGGCTGCTCCCCTCGGGTTTCGCGGGGTGCATCCCCAACTGGGGTGGTGACTTGGTCGGGGTCTCGATGGGGACGGGGATGGGGATGGGGATCGGTTGAACGATACCGACATCGTGCTTCTGCCGTGCTTTGCCCCTCGCGCCTCGGCGTCCGCCCCGAGGGTGAGGCCGTGTGCGGCGAGCGGCAGCGAGGCCGCGACGGCGGCGAGGCGGAGGGCACGGGCCATCGCTGAGAGGAGCGGGAAGGTCCGCTGATGGGCCTGTTGCCCACCACCACCACCACCAGAAGCTGGAGGGGGGAAGGAGGAGGAGGACGAGGAGGAGGACGAGGAGGATCGGGGGCGCGCAAGCATGGATTAGAGCCATTGTTTTCATGATTCGCGATAACGCCCGTTGCCGGCGGCGCCCCCCCCTCCACCCCCCAGTAACGTCACGATTCGCGCCAGCGGCGACTGGGAATGCCTTGAAAAAATGCAATGTTGCCAGGGCCAACGTACAGATAGGAAAAGCAATGGCATACAAGAGCGCTGCTGCTACTACTACTACTACTACTACTACTACTACTACTTCTACTACTACTACTACTATTACTACAACTACTACTACGACTACTACTACTACTACTACTACTACATACTACTACATACTACTACATACTACTACATACTACTACATACTACTACATACTACTACATACTACTACTACTACTACTACTACTACTACTACTACTACTACTACTACTACTACTACTACTACTACTACTACTACTACTACTACTACTACTACTACTACTACTACTACTACTACTACTACTACTACTACTATACTACTACTACTACGACTACTACGACTACTACTACGACGACTCTACTACTACGACTACGACGACTACTACTACTACTACTACTATTACTACTACTATACTACTACTACTACTACTACTACTACTGCTACTACTTCTACTTCTACTTCTACGACCACTACTACTATTACTACTACTAGTAGTAGTACTACTACTACTACTACTACTACGACTATTACTACGACTACCACTACTACTACTACTACTACCACTACTACTACTACTACTACTACTACTACTACTACTACTGCTGCGACTACGACTCCTACTGCTACTACGGGTACTACTACTACTACTACTACTACGACGACGACGACTGATACAACTACTACTCCTACTACGACGACGACTGATACAACTACGACAACGACTGATACAGTTACTACTGGTATTACTACTAGTACGACGACTACTACTGCGACTATTACTACTACTGCTACTACTACTACTACTACTACTACTACTGCTACTACTACTGC